TTTTTTTTTTTTTTTTAAATACTAAACACCAGAGTGGTGCCTATCTGGGCAGGGGAAGGGGTGAATGGGAATTTAGAGTAGGGGCTGGGGGTGAAGTAGAAAAGTCAAACGAGAGAAGGGGCTTTAGTGGTCCAGGGATGACTCCCATGCCATGATCTGACATGTCTGAAGAACTCAGCTCAGCACCCAGCAGGGAGGAGAAACAGGCGCCCATGCAAAGGTGACTGTTGTGGTCACAAGCCTGGCTATGCCCTGGGATCACCTGAAGAGCCTTGAGAGATCTAGATGCCTGGGGGCCACTCCCTGAAGTTCTGATTGAATTGGTCTGGATACAGCCACAGCTGAGAACCACTGAACTAACGACAGACGATAGACGGATGCATCTGGGTTCTAATCCTGGCTCTGCCACTCACAAACTTGGTGGTTTTAGGCAAGTCACTTCCCTTCCCTGAGTCCTGAAGTTTGGGGCTAAATCCCCTGTCTTGAGGAGAGAATGAGCAGGTCACAAGAGAAGGCACACCAGACATGGGGGTCTGCAGATGGACCCCCCTGCAGGAGGATGCTGGGCTAGGAACATAATTCCAACAAGTGAAAGAAATACATGAGGCCTATGAACCTTTTTCTTTCTGAGACGTAACTTTAGCTCAAGTTCCAGGACAAATAAAGGGTCCCCCTGTCCCACAAGACAGGGGGATGTTTCTCAGATGAGGGGTGCCAGATAAAATCCGGGATGCCCAGTGACATTCGAATTTCAGAAAAACAAATGCTTTTATAAGTATGGCCCAAATATTATATGGGACATACTTGTACTAAAAAATTATTTTTCTGAAATTCACATGTAACGAGGTGTCCTGTATTTTTATTTGTTCAATTTGACAAGCTTACTTAGATGATACTTGAGCTTGTTGGTTTTCAGTCTTTATCTACTGGTCTGAGAGAAGTGAGGGAGGGGTGAGGGGTCTCTATTCTGGAGTTTTCCATTATGGAGTTTCACAGCTGACAATCTCTAAAGGAACTATGTCACCTCCTTGTTCCTTGTGAGGAAAAGGAGATCAGAGGGCCCTGGATTGCACAAACACTGGCTGCCTTGTATTTATCCACTTGGTACCTTAGACACCATCATTAGAAAGCCCAGTTCTAAGAATTGGGAGAGGGAGATCCCACTTAGGATGGGATTTCTGTGGTTCTCATGTTGCCTCACCCCTGTTGCCAGCAACAGTAGGGTATCTGTTGCCTGAACTCAAGCCAGAAAAATCATAAAAGCTTAGCTTTCTTATTTTTATTATAACTTTTTTTTTTCCTGATCATGAGTCATTAGTAACTTTGGTGGTAGTGGTGGGGATCACCCATAATCCCTTTACCCAGATGTCCCCAATGTCAATTTACTCTTCCCCTGGGAAGGAAACATTAAGCTTTGATCACATGCCAGAAACTTCCCCATTATCTCATGTAACCTTCAGAAAGAAAAATTACTTTATTGCCCTTTCTCATTGTAAAAGCACTATAAGCTCTTCACACATTTTTTTTTTTTTTTTGGTCAAGTAACTCATAGATGTATAAAGAAATGAAATTCACCTAGAATCCTATCACTCAGAAATGGAATTCCTTTGAATCTCACTTGTAAACCTAGTCCTGTAGCACAGGGCTTCCTATCAACCAGCACATCTCCGGCACTGCCTGAAAATAAGGAAACTGAGGATCATGTCTACCACGTTACACCAGTATTCCAGGGGGTTCTCTCCCTTTCCTCCAAGGGGCTTGGGGCATTAAAGGGGGCTCAGTAAAAGTTTGCTAAGTGAACAAATGAACGGGGGAAGAGTCCATGACTCCTCAGATTAAGTCATCAAAGGTTCCTTCCAGTTTGTATTTTCAAAAAACCCTAACCCACTTGTGCAAGATTACAGGGTGGATATGATTTCTTGGCGGTTACCCCAACACATGGGCTATATGAGGGAGCAGGTGAATGAGGTGTGATTGTTTCCCTGCTCTGAATAGAGAGCTCCAAAACAGAGTGACAGGAGATCTAGGAGGCTTTAGAAACCTACATCTCTTGGAGGTGAAATGCAAAACCTATGGAAAACTCGAGTGTGGGGCAATGTGGTTAAAATGCCCAAGTAAGGCCCCAGCATAACAGGGTGGGTAGCTATTCGTAGTCTGGTCTGCCTAAGCCTGGAATTCAGACATGTGCTTAGCCCCACATGCAGATGGGCAGGGATTCTGATTTTTTAGCTGTTATTTCTTGAGTACCTTCTATGTGCCAGGTACTGTGCTGTGTCCCTTTCATATACCCTCATGTCCCCCAACAATGCCAGGAGGTAATGCTACTGTGAACCCATTTTACAGATGAAGAAACTGAGACGGATAGAGGTTTAGTCACCTGGCCAACCCCACACAGCTGGCATGTCGAGAGCCAGGTGTGGAACAGAGGTCTGTGTGACTCCCAACCTTCTACTCTTAACCACTCAGAAGTTCTGCCTTCCTTCTTCTGGGGAAGGAGGGCACAACTGGGATGCGTGTCTTTTCCCTCCTTGCCCAATGGTGGTGTGGGTGGTAGTGGAGAGCAAGGAGCCTGGGCCAGAGTTTTCCCTCAAGGTGCAAGGCAGAAAAACCAGAAACAGCCCAGACATTCAGATCCACCAGCTATGGTACATCTATATCTTGGAATACTACTCAGCAATTAAAAAGGAACAAACCACTGATTCACACAGCAACAACATGGATGAATCTCAAAAATAATGTGCTGCGATAAAGCAGCCAGACAGAAATGCATATACACTGTATGATTCCATTTACATGAAGTTCAAGAATAGGTGCAACTAGTCTATGGTGAAAAATCAGAACATGGGCTGCCTCCAAGAAAGAGGGGAACTTTCTTGGGTTATGGCTGGTGTATAAATCCGTCCAAACTCAAACTTAAAAAACAAAAACTAAATCTGTGTATTTACTGAAGGTAAGTGACAGGTAGGGCTGTGTCCAGATCCCCTGAGAAACCTGATCTCCCTTCACTTCCTCAGAAATCAAGGTTGGGCTGGCTCACATGTAACCTGTGAGTTCAAGAGCTAAGGCCACAAATACAAAGGTCAGTGGTTGCCAGGGGCTGGAGGTAGGGGAGAATGGGGAGTGACAGCTGAATGGGTATGGGTTTCCCCTTTGGGGTGATGAAAATGTTTTGGAACTAGAGGTGATTGTTTCCAACTGAATGCCACTGAATTGTACACTTTAAAATGGTTGCTTTGAAGTTATGTGAATTTTAAATCATTTTAAAAAGTAATAAAAGAGGGAAAAAAGGTCTCAAGGGCTTCTTCCCCAAGGGTTCTCACCACCAGGATTTTAACACTAGCGGCTGCCTCCTCTGTTAGAGCCAGGGCTAGCCTGGCTTGTCTGCCTGCCTCCCCAGTGGACCTTGAGCCCCTTAACGGTGGCCACTGTAGATAACTCGAGGACTGGGGCATAAATTTGATTGTTGAGTAAGTGGATGTGTGAGTGACTGAATGAATGAGCAAATGAATATACCTGTGTGAATGACTGAATACACGAATGAGTGAGCAAACACATGCATAAGTGAGTGAATGAGCAAATGAACAAGAGAGTGAAGGAATTAGCAAAGGAATGGACAAAAGACTGAGTGAGTGAATGAGCACAAGTACCTGATGTATGAGTGAACCTGAGCCAGGGCCTGGACTCTGGACCCAACCCTTGTGGGTTCCAGTCCTGGCTTTGCAACACAAGTTATTTAACCTCTCCATGCCTCAGTTTTCTCACCTGCAAAATGAGTATGGCGGGTTGTGGTAAAATAATAATAATAATAATAATAATAATAATAATAATAATAATGAGTTAAAATGTGTAAACTGCTTAGAACAAGGCTTGGCAAAGTAAGCCCTTCGTGTTTGCGAATATTAAAAAAAATACACATCCATGCGCACAGAGACCCAGTGCCTGGACGGCGCGCGACCTACCGAGGAGCTGCACCTCGTCGGTGATGCCGTAGACGTCGATGAGCGCCCAGAGCGGGCCGCCCACGGCCACGCCGCAGTGGAAGAGCACGGGCTCGCCGTCGTTGACGCTGTAGAACACGCGGCCGTGGCGGTCCGCCCAGTAGGCCAGCACGGTGTCGCGCAGCGCCAGGTTCTCGGGCAGCGCCTTGGCCCAGTAGCCAGGCCGCGTGACAAGGTCAGGGCAGGCGTACTTGGGGATGTCCTGGGCGCTCATGAGCGATGGGTCGTGCGCCGTGAAGCCGAAGCGCAGCGCGCCGCTCCAGCCCGGGCGCACGGCCACCAGGCGCAGCCGCACCTGCTCGTACAGCCGGATGGGCCGCTGCGTGAACGTGACGCCGTTGCAGAAGCTGTTGCGTCGAGTGGCCCGGCGCGAGTGGCCATCCAGCCGCACGTTCTTGCCTTTGGCCTGTGCGTGGAAGCGCGGCGCTTCGCCCAGGACTGGGCGCCGCTCGGGGCCGGGGCCACAGCACGGCCGGGTGGCCAGGAGGCGAGCCGGCGGGCTCGGGTCTGCGGGAAGAGACAGGCAGGAGGGTTAGAGCCCCTCAGAACTCCGCGAACAGGTTCGTCTTTTCATAGTCATTTGCATTTTAAATTCCATCTTAATTAGACCCGTAGTAAACTTTGAGAAGTTTCCAGCTACCGCCAGCCTGCCCAAGGCTGTCACAACAAAGTCACTATGATCTGTGACTTCCCCTCCCATTTACCCATAGAAAATGAAGGCATTCTTTATAAGCAAGGTTGGCTTTTCTAGAACATGCACCTTGGAGGGTTCGTTTCTAAGGGAATTTTGCACCAAAGGACCTGGAGAATCTTGGGAGGGTCTCTTTTCAAAGGAGCTGGCTGCTGGCCACAAACTCAGGTGGCTGAGTGTTGAGGTGGGGGCTTCATCATTACCACTTTTCCTCCTCCATCCCAGGGGCAGTTCTGGCTCTGGCAGCCTGGGAGGTGGCAGGGTGGGTCATTACTGCACGAGTCTCTGCTGCTCATTCACAACAGCAGCTGAGTACAATTTTCATGGCAAGTGCTTATAAATCGCAGGCAACCCCTGGCACACAGTGGTCCGTAATCGTGGCAGAAGAATAGCCACCTCAGGGAATGAGAGGCCACTGCTGGGACCACTCCTCCCACACCCAGCCATGGGGTTCACTGTGCTCTGGGCACGTTGCTGGGCTTCCATTAATACTGAGACTAATGGGAGCGAGGGCAGGGGAAAATGAGAGATGTGATGACGAGGCAGGCAAGCCATGGCTCCCCTCCCCAAGCCCGTGGGGGAGGATGCCCCAGTTAGGAGGTAGAAAGCCATGTTGGGAAGCTGGAGGCCCCTCTCTAAACAGAAGCCAGTGATCCACAGAAGACAAAATACAAGGACTGAAGCCAAGGTCCTGCATAAGAAAAACAAACTTAAGGGACTTTAATCATTCGTTCATTTAACAATGCCTAGTGAGCACCTAGTGTGTGCCAGGCACCATGCTAGGCACTGGAAATACAGCAGTCACCAAGAGGGATAAGGTTCCCACTCTGAAGGAGTGGGCATTCTGGGGCGGGGGGCAAAGTCAGACAAGAAGTAAAACATACTCTACCTGGTGGGAGGCACCACAGAGAAAAATGCAGTCAGGAAGTGGGGGGGAGAGAAGTATTAGGATTTTCACAGAGGGCCTCTTTAAGCGGTGACTTTTGAGCAGAGGTGAAGGGAGTGAGCCATGAGGGTAGCTGGAGGAAGAGCTTTCCAGGCACGGGAACAACACGTGCAAAGACCCTGAGGCGGGAATGAGCTGTTGTGGCTGAGAAACAGCAAGGCGGCCAGCTGGGGTGGTGTGAGCAGGTGGGGGAGGTGGAGGCAAATGAGAGCAGGGCCCGAGCAGTGAGGGGTGGCAGGGAGGGAGGGGGTGCTGTGGTCGCCGCTTGTTTTTTCTTGAGCCAGTTTATCCTACGTGAGAGGGACATTATTGGGGGTTTCGGACTGAGAAGTAGTGAGACCGCTCAGGCTGCTGTGTGGAGAGGGGACTATTGGCAGGGGGGTGGCCGAGGAAGCTGGGGGCTAGGGCAAGGCCACTGGATTATCCCAGGCACAGATGAGGAAGGCTGAGATTGGCAGGTGGGACGGTACCTGTAAAGGTGGTGAGAAGGGGTCAGATCCTGGATATGTTTTGAAGGCAGTAGAGATTTGGAGTTTTAAGGTTTTAATGAGAGCTGAAACATTCCGTGCACTTGCTTTGGATGGTTAAAATATAGTCAGTAAATAAGACTAGTAATGGATACTTGACGGGGAGGCAGAGAGGTGGTGAGGAGGGATAGGGAGATACTAGGGTTGGATCCTGGAGGGCAGGGGCTTTTCCATTTCATCTTTGATTCTCCCATGCTCAGCAAAGGCCAGTCACACACCAGGCACTTGATAAAAGCCACCTGCCGCCTCTGTTATGTTAGAGCTAGAGCAGACCTCAGAAATCATCTCTGATAAGCCCATTTTACAGGTGGGGAAATGGGCCCAAAGAGGGATGGGGGCCTGCCAAGTTCAAGGTCAGTGGGCGTCTGGGCAGGCCGCCTCTGAGGCAGGAGGCAGAAGGGCAGAGGTTACTTTCACCCAAGGAGGATAAGGAGAGCACTCTTTGGCTTATAAGCCAGCTTGAGCTAGGTTTCTGATCTTTGCAGCCCAAACTGCCTTGATTGGTAGGAACCTTGTACGGGACAGCGGGGAGAGGGGACCACAAAGGGCTTTCGCAGAGCAGGCCCAGCACTGCCTGCTAGGGAGGGGCCCCCCAGGCAGCGCAGAGGGTGGACCCAGAGCCACACTGCGGGTCATCTCCAGAAGCACAAGGATAAGAGCAAGGGCCCACTGGAGAGCTATTTTGGAGGACAAAAATCAAACAAGGGGAAATACGACCCGGTGTAAACCATCAGGAGAGGCCGCCCAGGGACCACAGAGCCCACGTTCTCCATGCACGCTGTAGTCTTGTGCAAGCCACCCAGCTTCTCTGGGGCTGCAGCTTCCTCCCGTGTCCACAGGCCAAATCCTCCCCAAGGTCCCCACAGCTGACACACTCTCCAGGGAACATTAAATATGACCACAGATCAAAAGCCCTTCTGAGCACCAAAGCCCACAAGCCACGGTTATGTGATTACTTTCCTCTCCCCCTGACATCTCTGCTGTTTCCCCATCCTTCTCTCTCAACTGGAGAATTTCTTTACCAAACAGCTTGGGAATCCTAAGTAGATATCCTTTCAGAGCGACCTGGCGGTTGAAATGAACACTGGCTGGGGAGACACACTGCTGTGTTCCTACAAGGGGAAGCTTCCTATAAAACCAGCTATATGTTAGGACAAAACACAGCCAAGTGACCTGCGAAGTTTACATACTTGTTCAATCTCGATTGTACAATCCAACTTCCTTCAGGGAGTGAGGGATAAGCACTCTTTCTACCCCCTCAGAGGCCAGTGTCCTGACATGAGGTAGAAAGACCAGAGTGAAAGTGTCTAAGAGGATGTGTTATTTATACAAATTGAAAATGCTTAAGATGAAAGAACAGTAATAAACAATCTCCAAATTGTACACCACCAACTGCTTTTAGCTTGGCTCAGGGAAAGTGGCTTCCATAAGAAACAGAGAAATGTGAATGCGGGCCCCAGGGGCCCCACAGAACATCCTACTTCAGAGATGTTAACGGAAAACCTGATGTTTAAACACCACAGCTACGTGATAGACAGTTTGGTGAGGAGGAGGAAAATCCCTCCTTTTTACCTACCTTCACAGCCTAACTCACATGGCATTTTCCATGGTCTCTGCGCGGCCCTTATCCATGGAAGAGCCCCTGGCTGTGCCCTCCCTGTGTGCTATGCCTCATGCCAGAGGTCTTCTGGGACATGGGATTGTAGCTACTTCTCAAAATCCTTCACCTGCAGGATTTTCTAGGCGAGAAACAAAACTCCAGGCAGCAGAGACACTTGCCCTCAGCTGCGAGAAGCAGTGTAGAGATGTCAGCCCAGCAATGTCTGATCCCAAACCAGCGTCCTTTCCTCCAGTCCCAGCCTTTTTCCACAAGCGGTGTGGAAGTACTGAGTACTAAGTAGTCCTCAGCACCTTTTCCAACTTCACTGCAGTCAGAGCCCACATCCAGTTTTGCTTCCTGCCTTTTTGTTTTCTAACTCAACATTACATAAAAAGCATTTTCCCCACATGGCTCCTGAACACTCACAGTGCTTAGGTTTCTTGGCTGCAGAATATTCCATCAAGGGCCACAGTGTCCCCCACCGTTCCCCTCCTGGGGATCACTTCAGCTGTTCCCCCAAATGGCCAAGTCTGTGGGCACAGAGGTTCCTAGCTGCTGGCAGCAGCACCAGATTCAAACGGGCACGCTGTCACTGGTGAGAAAACCTTCTGCCAGGAAGAGGCCCCCACACCAGGCCAGGGAACAGGCCCCAGGCCCCTTTCTTCCACCGAAGGCTGAGCACCCGCTGGTCTTGTGAGGGTGCCGCCTATGGCCAGGGAGCCCCCTCCTCTTCTGGCTAGGAGTCAGACCTGGGGACTCTAAGGACAAGGCAGGGCAGAGGGGCTGTTGTCCGGTGGGAGCCCAGGAGACCTCTGCAGTAGCCTAGGAGGGAGCAGGAGACATTCCTGGCCCAACGTCACAGCTGACCAAAGGCTGCTCCAGCCCTGCCAAGACCAGAGGGGAGGGTCTTTCCAGTGTTTCGTCAAGGAAGCAATGCCTCGACTCTAAATGTAGGGGCAGAGATTGAGGGGGGTGGCACTGAGTGGCTGTGGACAGTTAGGGAGGACGGGACTCTATTCTGACTAAATGTTGTCACTGCCCAGCCTTGGACAAGTCCTTCGGTTAGACAGGTGGACATGAGAGCAGCTCGGGTGGTGGCTAATGTGTTTTTCCCGCATCTGTGCTTTAGAACACACCTCATGGGCTCTGGGTTCGAGCCTGTGCTTTGCTGCTCATTTGCCTGGGGGCCCTGGGCAGCCACGTCACTTCCCAGCACCGCAGTTTTTCATCTGGAATGGCACGTGACCTTAGACCCCTGTCTCAGGCTGCTGAGAGGCTGGGAGAGCGTAGAGAGATCGGGCAGAAATCCTGGCACATAGTAGATGATCACCAAACGTTCATTTCCTTCCCCGTGGGAACAGCAGATCCAACTCCTGGGTGAGCCCTTCACCTCCATCCCTCCCAGAGTTTCATTTCCTAAAGGAGGCAGTTAAAGAGAACATAGGCTTGGAGTCAGACAGATCTGGGTTTAAATTCTGTTTTGTCATCTCATAGCGGTGTGATTAAGGTCCATGCTTAACTTCTCTGGGTCTCCCCATCCAGCGCTACAAAACTGGCAGGAGTCCTCACTACCCTGCAGGACCGCTGTGAGGAGTTTTGAATTTGCGAGGTAAATCCGTCAGACACGATGCGTGGCACGTAGTAGGTGTTCACTAAACACGTGGTCTCTCCCATTAGTCACCTTACTTCGTTCCTTTGACAAGAAGGTTTCTGATGTCCTTTGACATCAGAGACGTCTACTTG